AGATTGGCCTCGATGCTGCATCCCAAGACGGCTGGAAAGCGAGCAACGACTTTAGCCACCTGCTGTCGGCTCATCCCAACATCCTCAAGCCAGGCCACTTTTGGGTTTAGATTGGCCTCGATGCTGCATCCCAACACGGCTGGACTTCGCGCAACCACTTTAGTCACCTGCTGTCGGCTCAGCCCAACTCCCTCAAGCCAGGCCACTGTTGGTTTCAGATTGGCATCGATGCCGTATCCCAAGACGGCTGGATGGCGAGCAACGACTTTAGCAACCTGCTGTCGGCTCAGCCCAACTTCCTCAAGCCCGGCCGCTGTGGGCTTCAGGGTCAGGATGTCTACCGACGACTTCAGATTCCTTATTGCTGCATTCTTGGCACCGACGCATCTGGTGAACACTGCCTCGCCTGCAAACTTGTGTGCCATGTGGAAATCCCGCTTTGCTGTTCCAGTTTCAATTGCATGAAGATGCTTTCGCACATCATTCCGAAGCCTGTTTCCGAAACCGGTCAACAAGGCTCCAGTGGTTTGGCGCACAGCATGCATCAGCGATGGCTCATGGCATGCACGCCACCGATGAACCGTCGCATGACATGTGTTGTCCAATCTGCTCAAACTTCGAGGAGCATGGCAGATTCGAAGCACGCAAGAGCCAGGAGCCGCGTAGTGAAGCAAAGCTTCCGTCTTGCGCTTATCTCTTAGCTCCCCCTGGTCATCGTTGTGCAGATAGTACCCGTCATACTCGATGAACAATGCAGCACGTTCGTCTTTCAGCACACCGAATGCCGTGATGTCTGGGCAAAGCCAGCGCGACCCCCACTTCTTCGAGGACTCCACTGGAAAGTCCCGGAAGAGCTCGCCGATTGGCTGTCCCGGCATGAGCAGTTCCGCCATGCGGGACAACAGCTCTACCTCTGCATAGCTGCGGTGCACCATCCGACGCCGGCCGTTTTCCCACCAGAGTGGCACAGCGCACAAACGGCGAGTGTTAAAACCAAGCCGCAGCAGCCTGTCCGCAACATTCCAAGATGCTTTCATGAATTACAACACATCGTCCTCGCATGCATCGCCCCCTTGCATTATCCTCTCGAGCACTGAACGTGCTGTACGAGCACGCATCAATTTTTGTAGATTTCCAGCAATGCGCCCATGCCCTCAACCTGAAACCATAAGACGCCGTTGTAGGTCGGGGATGCGCAGTGTTACAAGCAGGGATATGCCTGATGGGAGCACTTTGAACCCCAGGCTAACCTTTTTGGGAAAGTCCTTGCTCTTCCAAGTAAGGCCTCGGTAACTTGACACCTGACATCCCAGAACTGTCTGCTGACGAAGCGGCCACAGCGTTGTAGGACCCAGCGCCGAGGCGGATGGCAGTTTTGCCTGACAGCGAGCGGAATTGCGAGCTGACGCTGGAGGTTCTTGTTCACGGATCAACATGCTAGCCAAGAACTTGGGCCAGGGAACGGGGATGAGCTCTCGATAGCGGCTTCAGGATCGTGATGCTAGGGTTGGGACCGGGGAGGGTCCTGGAGTTCTTGAAGATTGAAGGCCCAAGGTCGGCCTGGTGTGTAGGGTTCTAGATCAAGGCCTTCAGGGTTGGAAGCTTCGAGTTTTTTTGAATATTTGGGGGGCTCAGGGCTTGGCAAGTATGCTGATTCGCCTGATCTGCCCGGCTCTCTTCTGCAGGACTGCCTGAAAGCTGCGGAGGACCCTTGACTTCTTCAGGGTTTAGGGTTTAGGGAGTTTAGGGTTTAGGATCTCGGCCCGGTTAGAAAGACTGGCGGCTGAAAGGGTCTAAGGCGTAGGATCATCGACCTGTCAGTTGTGTGTCTTCAAAAGCAGGGCTCACGGCCTTGCGCAAAACTCCGCCCGGGTCGCGATCTTTGAGGCATTTAAGAAGAGCTGATCTTTGAGTCATGTAAGAAGAGCCGTGAATTCGACATCTCGAACATGCCTGAATGCGAAAATCTTGGGCATCAAGCTCCACGAAACTACTCGGATAAAGGCGAAGACGCTGACCATCATGGCCCAAAGCGCAGAGATTTCCATCCAAAAGCTATATGGGGCTTCATCTGATGATCTCAGCTCTATGTTTAAGCTATAGGGGCCTTCATGCTACAATGTACAATCTGTTCCTTGATTCAGGAGCCTTGGGCCCTTTGCAAAATTGCGAGACCCTTGCAGCGTCGGCGGCCAATCCTCAACCCTAAACCCTAAACCCTGAACCCTGAATCCTGAACATACCTTAAATCATATTAAGGATCCTACTATAATTTAAGGAATATTCCTTAATTAATCAATGTTGGAGACCCTAGCAGAGTCGGCGGCCTAAGTGTCGGAGCAGCAGCAGAGCCGATGGAAAGTCGCAAGAGCCTGACATAGGGCTTCTGACGAGCATGAAGTTGGGGTTTACTTAGGATTTTTACCGGTTTACTTAGGGTTTTAAGGGTTCTCTGAGGATTTTAGGGTTGACTTCGGAGTTTAAGGGCTTTACTTAGGATTTTAGGGTTTACTTAGGATTTTAGGGTTTACTTAGGATTTTAAGGTTTACTTCGGATTTTAAGCGTTTACCTAGGGTTGTAGGGTTTACCGAGGGCTTTAAGGGTTTACTTAGGATTGTAGGTATTATCTAGGATTTTAAGGGTTTACTTTTGATTGTATCGTTTACTGAGGGTTTGAGGGTTTGCTTAGGCTTGTAAGGCTTTATCTAGATTCTAAGGGTTTACTTGTGATTGTAGGGTTTTCCTTGGCTTTCAAGGGTTTACTTAGGATTGTAAGGTTTACATAGGATTTAAGGGTTTTAGGGTTTGAGCGTTTAGGGGTTTTGGGGTTTGGGGTTGTAGTAGGTGTTTAGGATGAAGCAACCACAGTTGCGGTTCTTTCAGTTCACGATGGCCGCCGAGTGTTCTGCAGCCCCCAACGTTCCAATTCTATCTCGTGAGCTAACGGCAAGTACAGTGGACCAATCGAAGCTCGTGCTGAATCTAGATTCCCCTTCGAGCAAAGCCTGTAGGTAACTAACAAGCCCAATCGCGTTTTTTGGATCACACCCTTGCGTCGGCTAAGCTCCAGCGATACTTAGTAGGACTTATCTGCGTTTCGCCGGCAGGCTAGGCAGGTGCCAGGGCCACTTGGAGATACCTCAAAGCCTAGATCACGATATGCTTCCACAACCCAGCACCTCAGCCCTAATCCCTGCTATACCTCCTCCTACTCCGGAGGTCCATTTCCCAGAGGCCCTGGAAAGAGTCCCTTGTCAAAGATCGCCACTTCAAAAGCGAGACCCGAGTACCTGCAAGATTCCTCGACGAGCTAAGCTCGTTTACTTGCAAAACCGGGGACTTACTAAGTGGGATTTACGAAGGGTTACAAGTCGATAAAGTAGGATACCGCGACTAAGGGGGTCTATGACCAGAAATGGCTTGCTAAATCCCCAAACCCTAAACCGCCTAAACCACAAACCCTGAAACCCTAAACCCCAAAAAACCCTAAACCCTAAAAACGCTAAAGCCCTACACCCCTCAACACAAAACCCTAAACCCCTAAACCCTAAACGCCTAAACCCAAAACCCGAAAAATCCAAGAACTCGGAACAAACCCTAAAGCCCTAAATACCCTAAACACCTGAACCCTAGACCCTAAACCTAAACCTTGAACACCCAAACCCTAAACCCTAAAACCCAAGAACTCGGAACAAACCCTAAAGCCCTAAACCCTAAACACCTAAACCCTAGACCCTAAACCTAAACCTTGAACACCCAAACCCTAAACCCTAAAACCCTAAACCCTAGGGCTCTTTTCGCCCTTAAGGAACCGATTCTCAGGCGCTGGAGCCTTTTGGACGCTGCATGATCCAAGAACTCGGAAGAAACCCCAAAACCCTAGACGCCTAAACCCGAAAAATCCAAGAGCTCGGAACCCCTCCGACTCCGACGGTCTGAGACGGTGACGGAGCGCGGCGTTGATCCTTGGGCTCGCGGCTCTGATGCACGAAACCCGAAGGGTCCCAAGCGTTTTAGGGTCTTTGCTTGTTGGGTTTAGGGTTTAGGGGTTTTATGGGGTTTAGGGTTTTAGGGTTTTTAGGGTTTAGGATTTTGGGGTTTTTAGGGTTTTTGTTTTTTGGTTTAGGGTTTTTAGGGTTTAGGGCTTTTGGGGTTTAGGGTTTTGGGGGGGTTTAGGGTTTTTAGGGTTTTTAGGGTTTTTAGGGTTTAGGGGTTTTAGGGCTTAGGGTTTAGGGGTTTTATGGGGTTTGGGGTTTCAGGGATTTTAGGGTTTAGGGTTTTTGGGTTTTTAGGATTTTTGTTTTTTTTGGTTTAGGGTTTTTAGGGTTTAGGGCTTTTGGGGTTTAGGGTTTTTAGGGGTTTAGGGTTTTTAGGGTTTAGGGTTTTTAGGGCTTAGGGTTTTTGGGGTTTATGGGGTTTAGGGCTTTTGGGGTTTAGGGTTTTTGGGTTTTTAGGGTTTTTGGGGTTTGGGGTTTATGGGGTTTAGGGTTTTTAGGATTTAGGGTTTTTGAGGTTCAGGGTTCTCGGGGTTTAGGGCACCAACCCTACCAGCAACGGTCTAAAGGACCTGATAATTAGGGTGGCTAGGAGGGCTCTATAATGGTTCAGTTCTGAAAGGGTGTTCATAGGGTCTTCTAAGGATCCCAAGCACTTGGTTGTAGGATAGTAGTTATGCAGGTACGTATTAATTTTGGAGACTATATGATGATTCGGAGGTCCCTGGACCCTTAGGGTAATGTAGAAGCCTGAATAATTTCAATAGGGTTTGGTCTCCTTTTAGTTTTCAGAAGGAAACCAGCAAAATAGTATACCTTAACCTACCAAAACCCACTTTTTTGTAGGGTCCCTATAAATTCCATATTAGGGTTTATAATAAGAACCTACAAAAAGCCGGTTTTGGTAGGTTAGGGTAGGTAATTGTTCAGGCTTCTATATTGACCAGGGCTCGGGCCAGATATCTGGGGCTTTGCGCTGCAAAGGCAAGGTCTTGCTGATATGTTGCAGTTACGGTTTAGGGTTTAGGGTTCAGGGTTTAGGGTTTAGGGTTTACGGTTTAGGGGGTTTTGGCCACAATTGCTGATTTCCGAATACACCCACTTAGGAAGACAAGTCTAGCCGGCCAAGGCGCTGTTTCGGCTGCTGCAAATCTGCACCGAGCCTGAGCTACGACAAATAGATGTAACTCCAGAAGCTTACTTTTTGGTTTCGGGGTCTCGGGCTGGGCGAATCACCGTGGGTTTTCAGGGTATTATGGGTCAAGCGCTGAGGGCTTAGGATTTTGGGGATCGCCTCCGAAAAAGCGACCTAACTTTAAACCTTGCAAGTTTCAGCTTCTTAGCTTTACCCGGTTTGGGCCGCGGTTGGGGGTGTGAGGTACACCAATAAGCAAAGATGAATGAAGCAACATGCACAATTAGAGTGCAAACGCCAAGTCTGAAATCTTGGGTCCAAGTCTCTGACAAACAAGCCTAATCTGGGCTGACTTCTGAACCACTCCTAAAACTTAATCTTTTAGCTTACCTATTATAGTTCCTCTAGACACCCCAAAAGTTAAAGTCCTAAGATCCAACCAGAAGAGCGCCAAGTAATTTAGGGGCCTTAATAATTAGAATATGTGTGTAGGGCTGTATATAGATAGGGCTTCGTAGGAATGGAGGTGGATGCGACATATATCTTAGGTGCTCTTCATGAGGACACGATTGTAGTGAAATTCCTGGTTCTTATACCCCAAACCGCTCAACCCTAAACCCCTAAACCCCTAAAGCCCAAACACCTAAACACTAAACCCCCCAAGCCTGAACCCTAAACCCAAAAAATCTAGACCCTAAACCCAAAACCCCTATAGTAGAAGCCAAGAAGTTGGAACATCATTATCCTCGTGCCCTTAAGGCAAAGCATAGGGGATGCCAGCACCAATCATCCTAAATCCATGTTCCATGTTCCATCTTTCTGGGGTTCACTATAACCCAAACCCTTGGACTCAAAACGTCAACGGACAATAGGAGGGATCCCTAGAAGGGACCCCTAATCCAAATACCCTATAAAACCCTTCTATACCCCTTATACAGCCTCATAAGGCCCCTATATAATCCCAAGGGTCCCTTTAAGGGTCCCTCCTTTAGTCTCTTGACAGTCATGCTGTCCCTAGTGCCAGGCTCAAAATCTAAACTTTAAACCCCAAAAGTCTAAACCCTAAACCCTAAACCCCGAAAATGAAAAAAATACCCTAAACCCCAAAAATCTAAACCCTAAGCCCTAAAAACCTAAACCCTAAATCCCTAACCCTAAACCCTTGGACTCAAAAAACTCTCAGGCGACGGCTGTGCTAAAGCTTTCTGCCAAGCCTGGCCCCGGGAGGCTGCGCCGCACCTTCCGGGA